TTTGTGACAATATGTGTTTATACATATTTATGCATATTTATATGTGTCGCATGTCAACACAAATTAAATTCATGTCTATACATATTTAAGCATGTAAATACATGTTTGACACACGTAAGTCACGATACACGAATTTTAAAATTTGTGTCAACACGAATAAACATAAAATATGAATTTCTAAAACATGTAAATGGAAAACTCGTGTAGTGTATCAAATTGGGAGGTTTAGTATCAATGAGACATGTAAGGTTTCTCCCTATTTTTGCGAAGAATTTTTTGCAGATAATTAATATTTGTAAGAATGTTCAATTATACTCTTCATTTTTGAAGTTGAACATGTTTGTGATCCTATGAAGGATCTGAATGACTATCGAAGGGAATCCAAATATATTATCAACCGATGCAAAGCACACATGACAAAAATATCAAACACTTACTCCTATAAAAAAGTGTAAAGTCCAACAGGAAAAACATATAACAAACTAAAATGCAGGAAATGACACAAACATTTAACACATTTAATATTGATTATAAATTAAATATCCTTTTATTTTTTATTCCTATATATCATTCTATCTAATTAAATGGTAACATATATAATATTTAATGTTTGTTTAATAAAATTTTAGGATACTAATATAACACATGTCATCATTTAAATGTGTATGATGATTGATAGGAATAAAAGATACGAAAATATTTAATTTCTCTTAACATTATTACAACATTGTAGAAAAAAGTCTTCAAAGAAATCGAGAGAGGGACTAACCTACAATGATGAAGACCTCTTACTAAAAAAATCCATTTATAAAAAAGGCTACTTGGTGACCATTAGACCGGACAGTATGAGTGAGGGAAAGTGTGAGAGAAGTTTTCTCTCTCACTAACATCATCCCCTTGATTGAGGGAAGGGAGCTTAACATCATCCCTGTGAGGAGCCCATTCCATCACTCTCTCTCCTATTTCTATTGATAAATTTTTTTTTTAATATTTATTAAATTATATACCTACTAAAATTTATTGAAAAATATATCAAAACTTATGGTTTTTAATTCCTTACAAAATAAGTATAATATTTATAAATATATATATTTTTTAAAAATAAAAAAATAATGAGAAAAACTTTTCACCTATTCTTTTGGTTTTAAGTGAGGGAAATAATGATGCAAGCTACAAAAAATAAGAGAAACTCTCCATCCATACCGTTCGGTCTTACGGTCAAAAAATTAAAAAGAGTTGTTTATTCACAATACCATATCATTACTATTTGAAGTGGCTAGTGTCTACTTGTAGATATCCAATAATCTTCCAATGATTGCCGAAATTCTCGAATAGTACAGGAAACATATTGCTTATCACCAAAAATAAGAAAATGGTTGTACGACTTCGTTTCCCTGTATATTGATGCCTTGCTTATGTACTTTTTCTTTTATTTTTTGTTCGAAAATATTCAGGTGTTTATGGCAATATCTCAAGAGATCGAAGTTATAATACTTGACATGTAGGATATATATTGTTCTTTATCATTTGGTTGATTGAAGTCGTAGATGATATTTGTGTTTGAAGATGAGAATGTTTTGTGTACTTTCTTAATTCTTATGGTGATTCATACAACATATTAATGATTTCATTAACTTATATAATAAAATGTTTATTTGACATTCATTATGCAATTAGGTTTCAACCGATTAACTTTTATAATAAAATGTGTACTTTATACTAAAACAGAATATAATTGCATAATTCGCTTAATAAATTGCTTTCTTCCAAAAGATACATTTATCTTTTTTAATAAAACTTCCTACCAATTATAGACATAATGAGTAATGCCACAATATCATCTCCGATATTTGGGTTAATTAACTTTATGTTTCAATCCTATTTGGCCACTAGTCATTCTTTTTTCCTAAAGGCCTAAATATTAAAATGACTTATATAAAAATGAATTTGGTCACAAACCCATAAACCATAAATCATACCGTAACCAAACAAAAATCGAAGACCATTACCAAACCAATATCGCAAATCTGAGACCATAACCAAAATCACAAAAGATTACCAATTTTAGAGACCATAACCTAACCAAAATCGGAAATCAAAGAACACAACCAAAATCAGAGACCTTAAATTAACCAAAACCGCAAATCATAGACCATAATAAAAAGTTAAAAAACATAAACATAAATCGAAGCAAGATCGACTAAATCCAACCAATATTGGTGGTAGCATATATGTGATATTCACTCTTATGTAATTCATAGGGTGTTTGTCCCTTCATCTTGTTCAATTTTAACAATCAATTTCCGAATTTCTTGGTACCCATTGATTTTCGTATCTATGTAGCGTAAAACATAAAGGCGTTCTTCTTTTTTATTTGAAAGCGAGATTCAAATATGCCTTCTTATATACTTAATCGAACATTTTCTCACATGTATCCAAAATCTTACAAGTTAAACTAATACCCTATTTTTCTCGTTGAATCGAACCTTTTCCACTGTTTGGTGATAGTAGGTAGCATAGTAGATGAGGAATGATGGTAGCAGATGACATCACATGTTGGTTGTGGAGGTAAACGATGGAGAGAGTGATCGATGAATGACGCCAAGAGTTGGTATTGTATGAAGTAGTCACCGGGGAGCGGTGCGATGATGTTGGTGATTATAGTATCACCTCACATTTTGTGTAATCAAAACCACATGTGTGCTAAGAGGCTTATCATTTGTACTCTATATTAAATGTTTGGTGAATGCAAAGTGCATGCATATATAAGATCGAATTATTAGCTGGTACGACAGAAAGGCGGAGGTTAAGGGGGTCGCACACCATTAATTTTGAGATTTGCATAACTAATTTTGATGATTAACCCTAATATGTCATGTATATATACAGATCCTCTTTTGAGCCATATACATAATCCTTTTCTCAACTCTTCTTCTTTTAAATGAAACTTAAAACTCTCTACAATTTGGTTTGTGTTTGTGTACCTAGATACACAAGTGTCCTTTTTTTATTATCCTATATTAGATTTCATGTAACTTATACATAGGGTGAAAATATCAGTTCGAAAAATGAACATACACGATCCATAAGGAATCCGGTTTCGCCACCATCACCCTACCTTATATCCTCCCACATAAGTGACTCATACTTGAGAGGTTATGGGTTCAAGTCTCGTTGGAGATATATGTGATAATTTAGGAGTATATTAGTTTGTTGTTCCAAAAAAAACTATAATCATTTATAAAAAAAAATTATTGTAATTTTTTAAAATTAATTAAGCTATGTAAGAAGCTACATCACCCACTATTACATGAGAAACCGTTTTTTTTTTTCCTAAATCCAATATTCTTCTTAACAAATCATTTTTAATGTTTAGGGTCTTAAAATACCTTGAAAAAAATATATTAATGAAATAGGATGGAAACCTAAGATTATGGGACTCCTATAACATTAACCTTTAAAATCTTAATGGTATTTTCTTTTCTGAATGTGGCTTAGAAAGTCTTATAGTGCATCCGCATGCTCAATGTGTAGGGACCCAATTGTAAAAAGGTTGTAGTTGAAGTACTTGAATAGAAATATGAAGAAAGGGGTCGTTTGGTTGGTGGCATGTCTTGAAATGATTACATTTTTTAGTTTGTACTTTGTCATTTTGCACTATATGCTAATATCTAGATATATGAAAGACATAATCATATAAGAAACTAAATGTGATTGTGGACACTTTTGTGTGTATTACAAGTTATAAGCAAATTGATGATATTCATCACTAAGTTCTAAAAGTTGTGATGTCAACAAATATATATATATATATATATATATATATATATATATATATATATATATATATATATATATATATATATATATATATATATAAAGGTTGTTTGCTTGTTCCATACATGTTTTTTTTCTTCAAAATCTTCCCATGTTGTATAGGAATAGGAAGAGAGAGAAGTTTTAGAAACTTGTCATTGCTATGATAGAATAAACAAATAAAAGGTTTATTGAAAGTGATACAAGTTGGTGAGGGGAACTGTCATGTAACTTTAGTAGGAGGAAAAGGTGACCAATGGAGCTATTTCACTTTACTTTTTAACGTTAGAAAACAGATAAAACTTTGAATATACAATATGGTTAAATTGTAATCAAACTCAATTGCTACGAAACCGTGTGATTTTTTTTATTTTTCTGGATGATTGTATTATTTGTTGTCAAAAACCAAACCGCAAATAAAAAATATTGAAAAAATCGCATAAACCTAAACCGAAACGAAAACCAACAAATCGGTTTTTAGTTTTGAAAAAAACCAAAAAATTTATGTGTTGTGTATTTTCATGAATATATACTTTCATAAATCTCCGCATTTAATATTGTTTTAATTACTCTGAGGAGCTATGATAAACAAATTTTTAAAATCATATTGTCATTTCAACCACACAGGACACCACTACCTTTTACAAAGAAATATTTTTTGTATCGACTTAAAAGATTTATTTAGACATAATGCCTAAACTAATCGTCAAACACCTTATTCACATATTTCAACATTAACTCCCAACATATTTCAACATTTACTCTTCAAAACATTTTAGAAACATAATCTTTTTCCTGAGCACATACATACACCCAGTATAAATTAGTTTTTATCATTCAAGAGCAACAAACTATAGTTAATGTCATTAACAACGACAAGATAATCAACTTGAAATTCATGTTCGCAAAATACCAATTATTTTGTGAACAAAAACAAACAGTTACATCTTTATGGTGCTCTTTTAAAACAACGGTATTTACAAATTTCCAATATGAAAAAGTATGGAATGTTGACTAACTTCAATTACTTATAAAATTCGAAGGATCTAGATTTAATAGGAGTCTTATTTTCATAAACAAATCTAATAATAGGTTCAAATTAAATAGTAGGGAGTGTGGGACAAAAAACACAAACACAAACATAAAACATAGATGCAATTTATTTATATATATTTATATATGAGTTAGTTAATAAAGCTCCCACTGGACATGCTTTGTGGGCCTTGAGATGACACCTGTCCTTGAGACACCACCATTTGTGTCCTCCCTCCAGGACCTTGAACATACCCTTGATTCATCCCTGTCCCCACCATCTGCTGCTGTTGTGGTGGTGCCGCCTGCTGCTGTTGCTGCCCCTGTGCCGGAATCTGCTGCAGGTGTTGCTGCTGTTGCTGTTGCTGTTGCTGTTGCATTTGCGGGTGCTGTTGCGGTTGAAGCTGTTGTGGTTGTGGTTGTTGACCCGATATCTGTGGCTTAAACACCACCATGTCCTGACACCAAATAAAATTAATTATAAACAATTTTTTTTATTTTTAATTTTATGTAAATAAGGATAAAAATGACAATTTACTTACCCCAGGGAAAAGCATTCCAATTAGTCTACATGCTTTATCAGAAACAGAGAGTAAAAGCGTTTGTGAAGGCAGCTGAATCACTGCACAAAGCTTCTTTTCTTGCAGTTGACCGAGGAATCCATGTTGATTCATTGCCCGAAAAACTAGGAAATCTGCTTTTCCCACATATTGCCTGGAATTTAAATTTAAATATTTAATATGACAAAAAAAAAAAAAGAATTTTGGTCAAGCTTACTTGTTGTTCATGTGATCTTGAGATATAAGTCGCACTATTTGCATTGTTGGTGGCCAATTTGCTGCAAGCCTAAGAGAGAGAGATAAAAGGGTATTTTAGGTATTTCAATAATAGTCAGAGTCAAACATTTTTGATTAAATACTATGTGATGTTATGTCATGGGTGACTTACGATTCTGAAGCCGATGCACTCCGGTACCCCTACAATATTTTTAAAAAACAAAATTCGTAAGTTTTTTTTTTTTTTTTTTTTTTTGAGACAAATTAAATTAAATAATATAATTAAACTAACTTCTAATCTTGTAATAAATACAGGCTGGCCTTGTCTCTGACCCGATAAATTCCCCTGCATCATTTATCTCACACTTATATTATTCCAATTTCCATATAAAAGATTAATAATTATAATAATTAATTTATATTTATACCTCCCAGACTTTGACATATTTTGACTGTGCTGATTGCAATGCACCTGTTGATTGTTGTGTGAGACCAACATTAGCTGCTGTATTATTATTATTATTATTATTATTATTATTATTATTATTATTGTTATTATTATTATTATTATTATTGTTATTATTATTATTATTATTCAGACCACCAGATTGCATTCCTTGTACTTGTTGCTGAGTCATCACCGGAGTCGGCATCATTGATCCCATTCCAGTCATGGTTCCCGTTCCGGTTCCGGTTCCAGTTCCGGTTCCGGTTCCGCTACCTGATTGACCTACACCTACTACACCACTCATCATATTATTCTGACTCATTCCCATTCCACTCTGCACCATTTGCGACCCAGGAATGGTCCCTTGACTCATCCCCGGAACGGAATTACCCATTCCAACGCTTCCTTGAATCGGTTGTGAAATATTCGATGTAGCCGAAGCAAAAGAACCAGGGACAGTCGATGCCACCTGTGCGGTCACGGACCCCACCATCGATGGAATCCCTGATTGCGAAGATGAGATCACGGGAATTGTGGATGCCATTCCGCTTGATATCATGTTGGACATATGCACAGCCATGGGATTTGGTATTACCATGGATGTTCCTCCAGCAATGGCTGCTTGGTTGATGCTTCTTACTTGTGATAAGTTGTTGAGAATGTTATGATTTACAGTGACAGCTGGACGCATAGGTGGCTGTATATTACTCACAATTGGCTTCATATCTTGGATTCCATCATTACTTGATAACATTTCTTGTGAAACAGATAATGGTGATGACATTTGCATTGGTGGTGTAGGACGTGGGACAGCTGGCACGTGTTGGAATGATGGTGCAGGTATAGGTATCGGTACAGGTGGCATTGAAGTAACCGTTGTTGGCTCCTGAAATTTTTTTTCTAAAATTACCAAAATACCCTTTTCTGTTTTAAAAAAAAAAGGTTTTCAATGGAACTTACGACTTTCACAGTTGCAGGAGGAATGTTTCCTACAGGAACTGCTTGTCTATTCATCATGGGCCCATTTGCTGTATATAAAAACAAATAAATAAATAAATAAATAAATGTTTATATTAACTAAAAAGAAATGATATAAACATGAATTTGAAAGAAAACCTGGTGGAACTGAAGATGGAGGAGGGGCTGAAACAGGAGGAATTGAAGTTGAATCTACTTTTATAGGATTTTGAGAGGGCAAATTCGTAATTCCTGATCGACTTAAAGCAGCACGAGCCTCCAAGAATGTTTCTGAAATGAGTACAAGATAATGTGGATTTTTCACAATATCAATTGTAGGATCAGCTGAGGAAGGGTTCCTTTTTCCCTATAAAAATCAAATACAATTAATAATTTAAGGAATATATTATATAACAAAATAAGAAACTTATTAAAAAAAACAAAATGTAAGTCATTAATTACCGCATTATAGACTGCTTTGAGTTTCGGAAGCTGTTTAGGGCATATAACTGATAAAGAAACAGAACACTGCTACAAAAAAATACATAGAAGTGTAAAAACATGTAACATTAATTAAATATCTGTATATAAATTTATTTATTTTCAATAGTTTAATACCTGAGCAAATGCTTTAGCTATAGTTTCAGCATCTGATAAACGACTTTCTGATTGTGCTTCATTGTTATCAGTTGGTTCTATTTTTTGCATTGGGGGTCGATAAACTGGTGTTGGAAGTGGATAAGGATTACTTGCAGCTACAAGTATGCAATGTCTTTGAACACCTAAATTGTGTTGATTTTGGGATATGTTTTGGGGAGGAAACATCTGTTTGTTAAACAATGTAAAAAATTTAAATCCCCTTTGGTAAAAATAAAAGACATGAAGTAATCAGAAATTAATTATGTATAAATTTAAATACCATTAAAGCTTCACCAAGTCCTTCAGCAATTGCAGCATCACAAAAACCACCACCAGTGAAGTGAATGGCTGATAGCCATTCAAAGAAGTAATCAACATTTCTTGTCCACCCACTCCTTTGTACTAAGCAAGCTGATATTTAAAATCATAGAAACCTCAAAAACATAAAATTTGGGGAAAGATTTGTTTTTTTATAAAAGTTAATGAAATGAGAATAGTAATACAGATACGTTATACGCACAGCTAAAAGATCCGTGAGCATTGAATATTATAAGTGCCAGCTCGGTAATAGTCCCAGATGGTTTCTGTATGTTGAAAAAGTAAAAGATTTTTAAGTTAATAGGCACGAAAATAAATGATACATTCAATAAAAGGTTACATATATATATATATATATATATATATATATATATATATATATATATATATATATATATATATATATATGCTATGTTGTTATACGTTGTTTTTGTAATGTTGAAATAGTAAGATTGCTTCTATTCAGAGGGTAAAGAATAAAAAATTGAGCAATATAGAAACTTAGTCATAGTATATGCCATGAAATCTTGTAAAGCAAAGGAATGATGATGGACATTGTGAAGTGATGCTTAGATTAACAAAGAGAGACTTACCAAAGACTCACTATCACAGAAGGACCTGCGTGAAAAAACAAACAATTAGAAGAGAGGTGTCAACGGAAAAACATACACAAGAACCCTAAAGACTACAAACAAAATACCCCCAATGTTCATCCATAGATATGATTATGATTGGTGATATATATTTAGAATTAATGAGATGTGTTTCAACTTCCATGAACATGACCCATAAACCTAATTACACTACGATTGAAAACAATTACTGTAGGTCAATTGGACAAACCAATTAAGAACTCGATAAATCATAACATCCTAGGTTTGGGCACTAGCCACAGAAAGGGGGTAAATCTACGAATATTACGTAATTTGAAATCCCTAAATCCAAAATACGACCATAAGAGTACCTGATAACTTTTTCGAGGTAATCGGAGACTATAGTGCGCCAGTAAGGACCTAGAGCGGCGGTACCTTCAACCACCAATATGAGCTGCTTTTTGTCCGCCATGTATATGTATAACAGCCAGACGCCCAGAGACTCGATCGATCAGCTTTTTGTTGTGGCACTATTAATCGTCTCAATCGAAGAAGATACACACGTATTAGAGCAATTTTCTCACACAATTATGGTGGACTTTTTCAAATTGAAACTTGTTTAAACCATGGATGCTGCTATTGTTCATAACCTGTGGGGGTCTTTGACCCTTTCGTCCCGGTATAGACGTTGAACATGGAATCAAAACTCTGTTGAATATAATTTCTAAGCTGCTCTGATCTTTTCTCCCCAATGCACGAAGGGGTTTGTGCCCTGGTATAACTTATACGAAGCGAAACTCCTCGAATGAAATTTGTCGCGTTAATAATTTCCAAGCTCTAATCTTTCTTTTCAATCCCACTTCAGCCTCATTTACTAGTTCTGTCGTCGCCAACATCTATTTATTTTATTTTTATTTTAAAAAAAATGATATTTATTTATGGGTTTAATGTTACAAACGCTCTTAAATTTGCAGGAAATTATCAGTTTTACCCTAGAGTCTTTTTTTTTTGGTGTCACATTTGGGTAGATTTTGTCATTTATGAGCTTTTATCCGATTTTACATTACTTAGTATTGTCAAATTGTTTGATGTTTTGAATTTGAAATTCTTTTATATATATATATATATATATATATATATATATATATATATATATATATATATATATATATATATATATATATATATAATTGATTGAATTCCTTACGTTTGTTCTTTCTCGCTGAATTTTATATTGAAGTTCTAAAGTTTTTGGTTTTGTAGATATGCAACAGTTGAACTTGAAAAACATGAGATTTGTTAATATCTCTTAGAAACCAACATATATGTTACTATTTTTTTTTTTCTATATAGTAGTTTTTATTCTCTTTATTTTCTTTGAAATTGATTTAAATCGATTTATAGTTTATCTAATTATGAACGTGTAAGAAAGATGAAATTTTCACTGTGAATTTGCAATTAAGCATCGTACTTAGAAATATGTGTTTCTTATTTTACTTGATTGATATAACTACATAAATTTCATTAAATTATTAATATATATGAACCATGGGGGGCTTAGAGGGGGAGCAAAATTATAATAAAGATAAGGGTCCTTTTTTCTTGTTCGTCCTGGGCCTTTAAGAATATTTCATTTTTCAGGACCGGCCCTGATATGAACACTAAACGTATATATACGCATCCGTTGTGACACTCCATGAGGGTGATTTCCGATATTACTTTTGGAGGAATCTAGTTGACCTAAATAGTTTGCCAAATGGAGGATTAACTTATGTAAAGTCAACATACATTGTTATATTAGACATTAAAGTAATATAAATCAAAATAAGATGATAGTTTAATTAATTTGCTAGAGAGAATATTAAGAGGTTACATTTACTAAATATTTACTAAATAGTTGGAGTGACCACATAAAAAGCTCTTCATGTAAATGGTAAATACCTACTTAAAAGACCATTTATTACTAGGGAGGAGGGAATTGTGAGTGGGTTGGGGGAGGTACTTCCAAGACGTGAATCCCTCACCAACGGGTCAAGGTTGGTGGGGTGATATGCGGTAGGAGTAGCAAATCGGATCATCGTGTCGTTTTTTGTCTAACACGACACACCAATGTTTCTTTGTAACACGAAAACGACACGACATGATGTCGTGTTCTTTTCAACTAACATGAAACGAACTGATTAAAAAAAACAACAAACACGACACGACACGACAAGATAAAGATGACATAATATAACAATTCATTTATTTAATTAATATATAATCATACATAACACGACAAACACGAAAAACCCAACTGACAAATTCTAAATCTTGTCAATTTCGTGTCGAATTTTGAACACGAACATAACACAACACAACGTTGTGTTTTTTATATACTTGACATGAACACGAATTCAAATTTCAATTTCGTCTTAATTTTGTTTCGTATCATGTATTTTTATCGTGTCGTGTCATCAATTGTCATCCCTAATATGTGAGTTCTCTCTCTCTCTCTCTCTCTCTCTCTCTCTCTCATGCAATGGCTACCAGAATAAACTATTTTTATCCAAACATTTTCTTAACTTGTAATGATGTGGAACCGTAAATAAACTAATAAGTTATTTTAATAAGATTAGCCAAACACCTTAGTTTTATATGTTTTGTAAATTATTTTTATATGGTTTTTATTAGTTTGTGTTTATTTTAAAATTAAAAATTGAAAGGATTGAATGAGTTGGAAAAAATGTGTTTCCCTGTATTTTTGGTGTTGAAAAAAAAACAAAAAACAAAAAAGCCTGATATGACAATGGGTTAAATATGTTGGACTCCTCCCTTATTATTATATAAATATAGGGTAAATGGCATAAAAAACACTATTTTACACAGAAATTCGATTTTGACACCGTGTTATTTTTTGTGTCAATTTTGACACTGTGTTTTCCAATTCGTTACAATTCTAACCACTTGACTGGTTAACCAGGTTACATACTGACGTGGCATGATGATGTGTCAGTTTTGATGACATGACATGCTGACATTATATGATGACACTACGTTTTTTTGTTCCAAATCGAACATCATTTTTTCTAATTTTGTTCAATGTTGACAATTTATTATTTGAAACCGCATAAATATTTTTTAATACATTTAAACCGTATAAAAATGTTTTTTTTTTTCATTTAAAAACCATAGTTTTGTATAAATATATTTTTTTACACTCAAACCATATTTTTATATATAAATATATATATTAGTTATATAAAAATTGTATTTTATATTAAATATGCAACTTTAAAATGTGTTTGAAGGTTTGGAGGCGTGTAGTTGATCAAAACTCAGATATCAAGTTTGCAACCCATCAAATTTTTACATCTTATTAGAAGTTTATGTTTAGTTTGATTCTCATGATATAACTAATGCTTTGAATGTAAGAAAAAAAACATTTTGTATTTAAATAAAAATGTGTTTTAAACGAAAAAAATATGTTTATACGGTTTAAAATGTAATAAAAAATATATTTATACGGTTTCAAATGGAAAATAGACAAAATTAAACAAAATTTGATAAATGATGTTCGATTAGAACAAAAAAAAACATAGTGTCAAAATTGAAATAAAAAATTAAACTTAGTGTCAAAATCGAAAAAAAGTAAAAACTTAGTATTTTTTGTGGAAAAAAAATCAATTTTGACACGTCAGCATATCATGTCAGCACGCCACGTCATCAAAACTGACACGTCATCATGTAACCTGGTTAACCGGTCAAGTGGTCAGAATTGTAAAAATTGGAAAACACAGTGTCAAAATTGACACAAAAAATAACACGGTGTCAAAATCGAATTTCTGAGTAAAAATAGTGTTTTTTGTGCTATTTACCCATAAATATATCATAATATTAAATGAAAATTTTAATTAACATTAGTTATGTTTTTCTTTTGCAATAATGATCATTTTTCCAGTTTTAACGTTTATTACCCCTAAAACCTTTTTTGTCACATTTTTTCATTCCTCAACCATCTAATGTACATATATTATGAACAAATGCGCTCACATCTTTAAGGGGTTGTTTTATTTGGTGTTGATCGGGTCCGGTCAGACGTTTTGTCTGACTCGGTCCGGTCAGAGTGTTTGATATTTATCTGACCCATCAAGTAGCTCTGACTCGATCCACCCAAAAAATATAGATGACCAACTAATGAAGAAAAAAAGACGTCCTTTGCCCCCCATTCTACCCATCAACACTGCAGACAAAAATCAAAATCAAAGGGTTTCTGGCATAGGAAGATGAGGACACACCAAATTTATGGAAAAACTGTGAATGCTTGGACCCATCTAAAGGAAAAATACAATTGTTGACAAATCTAAAAATCGGAGAACACAATATTTCCGTCTTGAGATCCTAGGCTCAGGTTGATGTCATCGAGAGTTTCAATAATGGAGTAATTTAGATTCTGGTCTTCCTTGATGATAATACATACCAAGAATCTCCAAATCCCAAAATAAAAAATATTCGGATCTTCCTCAAAAATCAAACCTGTAAGGTTGGAACTCAATTCTTGATTTGTTCTTTGTTTGACTCGATGATATACACACCACGACGAGAGTACGGGTATGAGAGGAAGGGATATGATGAAGTATATTACTAGATTATGAGCAGATGAGTTTTATGGTTGAGGTTCCTTTGAAATAAGATGAGAAAAAATAGAGATAGAGATGTAGTTTTAGGTGGGATGGGACTTGAAGTTCACATATTTTTCTTTTCTTTTATAATTAAATTATTAATAAATAAATTTAAAAAATGGTAAAAGTGACAACTATAATAATTAATTGGTAAAAGCTAAATGAGAAATTAATCAAAATAGAAATATGAAAATTAATATGATAAAATAATATATCATAATTTAAAGGTAAACTTGTCATTTTTATCATTCATTCATTCAGCTCAGTCAGTCAGACATATAATCAAACAATATAATTTTAGTTAGATATAGATTCAGTCAGCTTTAGACCCGATCAGACTTCTAACTCAGTCATATCTGATTTAATCACTAACTATCAAACAACCCCTAACTTAACCATTGAGGCTTAACTATGGACACCCACACCACCAATGACGTCATAGAAATAAGTAGAAACATATACATTCCCATAATAAGAACCAAGGTTGATTTTCATTTTACTTTTAAATTATAGAAACTTTACAATTTATATTTTAATAGGAATTGAATATCCCCAAATGCAACTCGACTAACAAAATGAATATATATATATATATATATATATATATATATATATATATAGAGAGAGAGAGAGAGAGAGAGAGAGAGAGAGCTAGGTTCAAATGTTTTTCTCAAGTATTGTGTGCCTAAATGCACCATTGAGAATCCAAGAAATAATAAACAATTAAATAAATCATTTAAGGGTATTTTGGACCTTTTATACTTTTAATTAAGGAAATCATTTAATTAAATCTTGCAATTAAGGAAATAGAATAAGTATATTTGACCTAGCCTCTCTCTTAAATCGTGTCTAATAAAACCTCCAGAATCCTCAAACCTTTTTCACTCCTAGTTCACCAAACGGAAGATGCGATTGAAAAATTCTTAAATGGCGGAAGATGCGAAGGAAGGCACTCAATGGTTCTTCGTTCCTCTCCCGTCGTCGGCAGCAAAGAAGATCAAGGGGAAGATCCCCCTGTGCTCATCTTCGTCGGATTAAGGAGGAGAAGCACGATTGGAATCAGAAATCGGGAAGCACTTCCATTGATTCACCGATTCGAAGGAGGAGGATGAGGAAAATATTGATTCCATGAAATTGTTTATCGCTAATCGAGTCATCTGTCATCAAAATCGATTCTAATCTTATTAATTGATTTTGTGTGTGAACTAAATCAATCTGTTGAATAGAA